AATCTATCACCACCACACAGCAGCAGGGAGGTGGCCTCGCGATGTGGCTACATTTCGATGACAGGATGCTGGGAGCCAGCGCGGACCAAACCCTCAGCGGGGACCCTCAGTGAGGCTTGTTTTCATCCCTGGACCCAGGGTGCTCAGTGAGTGCAATTCAATGGGAGTGAAATCCAGAGAGAGGAGAGTGAGAAGAAAAAGTCAGACGTGGCAGGCAAGTCTGTGCACCACCCACTTTACAGAAGTTCTCACTCACCGGGTCTTAAAATCATGACGTTTTCCAGAAGTCCTGAAGCTGCACTTGTGTCTCAAGACTTGCCTTGCAATGTCCCCTTGGGAAAGGGCCCGAGATGTAGCTCAGAGGCACAGTGCCCGCCTGGCAAGTGTGAGGTCGAATTTGTTTCATGGTACCCAGGTGAAGGCTGGGGTTTCGCTCACTGACACAGCAAGCATGTTCAAGGCCCTGGGTTGAATTCCCAGTAAACCACCCTTCCCCTGCAAAAAGATAAAGCAGACATTTCACTTAAAAGAAAATTGAGAGAATTACCAGCAAATTGGCATTCTAAGAAATGCTAAGGAATTTTCTTCAAAGAAAAACTGATACCAGTCAGAAACTCAAGAGTCTCAGAAAACAATGCAAAGCAATAGGAATATAAGTGCTTGGGTAAACGTAAAAGAAGTTATTTTTTCTCTTTTGCCTTTACCTTTTAGTTGTTTTCATAAATAATTGTTTACAAATTGTAATACAGTCTTGTGGGTATAAACCAACAGAACTGTGAGATTTCTGTATTTTATATGAAATAGGGCATAACTCATTGTAAGTACTTAATGAAAAATCAAGGATATCAGGAAGGGGTAGTGTCCCTTTTGGCAACTTTTTTGACTTGGCTGTTGGTCTAATCATTGGTGCTGGCATTCCTCTCTCTCTCTCTCTCTCTTTCTCTCTCCCTCTCTCTCTCTGTCTCTGTCTCTCTCAAACAGTAGTCCCAAGGGCAACCACACCAACATTTGCACTAAATGTTAATAAACTGAACAGTTCAATTAGGCAGAGATTGTCAAAATAGGTAAGATAAAATAGAACCCAACTATAATGTGTACAAGAAGTAGACAGTAAACAAAGATACAAATACAGGTAGGGTGAAAGAAAATGATTGAAAACAATGTATTCTAACTGCATACTTTTTTTTTTTTTTTTTTTTTTTGCGGTACCGGGAATCGAATTCAGGACCTTGTGCTTGCCAGGAAGGCGCTTATGCCACTGAGCTATATCCCCAGCCCCTAACTGCATACTTTTAAATGGTGAATTTAGGTTATGTGAAATACATCTGAATAAGAAGATATATTACTAGAAAACTGCCTTAGTATTTCATAATGATAAAAATCTGTTTGAAGAAGGATCAAAATTTGTATGCATCCAAACAACAATCAAAACTTGTATGCATCCAAACACGAAGCAAAGTCCCAACAAAGTAAAAGGGAAAAAGAGATAACTCTACAAACATCTTTGGAAAATGTTAACATTTCCACTCTGTAACTGATCAAACAATTAACTAAAGAAATCAGTAAAGACATTGAAGTCCTGACTATTACCAACCAACTTGGCTTGATATTTATAGAATCCCCTACCAGGAATACACATTACTTATAAGAGTACCAGGCCAGGCATGGTGACGCATGATTGTAATCCCAGCACTTGGGAAACTGAGGCAGGATAATCACCATGAGTTTGAAGCCAGCTTAGGCTACACAGTGAGTTTAAGGCCACCCTGAACTACACAGTGAGACTCTGTCTCAAAAACAAAACCAACAAAATAAAACACCAAGAGAGTACCTGGTATATTTATCAGGATAGACCACATTTGCTGGCCAAAAATCCCATCTCAATTAATTTGAAAAGTTTGAAATCATATAGGCAGTGTGCTCTGGCCACAGAGGCATTACATTAAAAACCAATTACAAAGAGAAAACCAGGAAGATTCCAAATATTTGGAATTTAGTACACTTCTAAATAATTACTGGGCCAAGGAGGATTCATAGGAAATATTAGAAAACATGTTGCTATTTATATGTAAATATTGTAATGAAAATATACATGTCAAAATTTGTGGGTGTAGACAAAGCAGAGTGTACTGGGGAATTTATACCTTTAAATGTTTATGTAGGAAAAGGAAAGTCTAAAATGCAGCCTAAACCCAAAGTCTAAAATAGTACAAAATAGCATAAAAAGAAATCTAAGTTATATGCAAAAAACTCAAAAAGAATAGAGCAGAAGTCAGTAAAAAACAGAAAAACAGTAAAATGGAAAGCTCCTTTTATTTTTCTTTTTGGACCTGAGTTGAACCCGAGGCCTCGCGCATGCTAGGCAAGCCCTCTACCACCGAGCTACACCCGCAGGCTTTTTATTTTGAGATGAGGGCTCTCTAAACTGCCTAGGCCGGGTTTGAGCTTGCTATCCTCCTTCCTCAACCTCCCAAGTAGCTGGGACTATAGGCATGTGCCACCACCAGTGACCAAACCAACAGCTAGGTCACACAGGCACTGAAAGGGACCCTCCCATTCCTTAGGGACTTGATGCACAGATGGTGCTGGTTGGGTGCTGGCTGGGGGCAGACGGTAACAATACCAATAACTGCATGTGGTTAAAGAAGGCAGGGGAAGGCACCTAGCTGGTGAGATATTTGCCCCTAGACACTTTCAAAACCACCCACTGGATGCATTTGTAGTCTGCGGACAGGGGCACCAACACAGGCTGGGAGAGCAAAGGCCACAGGCACTCCTATAAAGCATCCTGACCTTTCCCCACGCGAGCTCAGGAGGCCTGCTTGTGGCTACACACAGCCTTGAACGCTGGTTACACTGGCTGGCCTTGGGTACCTACACAAGTCAAATGTCTGGTATGGGATTGGCCGGTGGATTACATAGGGTGCAAGCTTCTGAGTGAGTGATACAACATACACTCACCAGTGTGGGTCCTGCCACTGCTCTCCTGCAGGCATCTCCTGTAACAGGCCACTGGGGAAGCTGCTACTAGCAGTGCTACTCAGATCAGGGTTATGTACAGGTGCCCATAAAGTGACAGGGACATTCACTTCACCAACGCTGGGATACAAAATCCGACCAAGGTCAACCAAGGGCATGGGAGATTTCACCTGCCTTACAGATCCACTGAGGCTACTTGATTTCTTTTTTTAAAAAGGGGGAGGCATTGTTGTTAAACCAATAGTTAAAAGGTTTAAATAAAGTGACCCTGTGTAAGGAAAAAAATTAAAATCTTCTAGAAGCCATGCTGTTCAATAAGTATCCCAGGGCCGGGGGGCAATGTGTCCCTCTCTCTGAGTTGTTGGCCGGGGAGGTCCCCAAGCTTCCCCAAACTATACAGGCCACTGCAGTTAGTTGCACCCCACAACTGGACAGTGAGAATCTATTGCTGAAAACACCACATGCTGTGGCTGGAGGACACAGAGAAATCAGGCTGTGACTAGCTGGAAGCTTCTTCCTTCCTGCCTAGTATTTGTAGAGCCAGAGGTGCAACGCAGGCTGCCAGAGGAGAACTGTGACATCAGTGCTGCTTGGCTATGGACCTTGGGCTTATATAATCAGTGCGCCACACAGAATGCACCTAGTGGTGCCCCCAAGCCCTGGCCAAAGCAGCTCCATGTTGTAGGGGGCTGTTAGCTGTCCAGGGCCCTCAGAAGGTGCGGAGCTGTGTACCAGACTGTGGCACAACAAGGCGGCCCAGCATGCAAGACGGCATGTGGAGACGCAGTTTCCTGATAAGAAGATGGCAGTAGGGTTCACACAACTTTTCCCCAGGGCCCTTCTTGTTCTTTTTGCCCCCACCCCCTTTTGCTCTTGATTCTGTTTTTGCTCTCTTAATTAGTCCTCTATAAAACCAGTAGCCTGGCACAGGAGGGCGGGCGATTTCAGTGGTGCTGTAGCCCACAGTGTAGATACTGTTTTGTAACTAATCCCTAAGAAACTCAAGTTCTTGCCAAGCTGGATTTATCCAACTCATTGTTTGGCTATCTGGGCAAGTCACAAAACAGACATCAATGGAGCAGAGTCTAGAATCAGATCGATACATACAAGCAGATTTTTGATGAAAATGCCAAGGAAATTCAAGAAAGTCAACAACGGTGCTGGAGCAATAGCAAGAAAAAAAAATTTAGAACTCTAAATTATATGCCCAGGAAAAATATTCTTCAAAAATGGGAAGAAGGGTAGGGTTGTGGCTCAGTGGAACAGCACTTGCTTAGCATGCATGAGGCTCGATCTGGGGGTTCGATCTACAGCAGAGAGAGAGAGAGAGAAACAGAGAGGGAGGGAGAGAAGGAGGCAGGGAGGGAGGAAGGAGAGGGAAAGAAAATATTTAATCACCAATAAAAAATAAATCATCAATAGGAAACATGAACTACAAGGAAAAAAAATAGAAATTATTTGGATAGAAGAAAAATAGCCCCATAGGAAACATGCAACTGCAGGATCAAAAGAGCAACCAAATGGGCAAATATGTAGGTGAATACAAATTAAGATCAACTCTACATTAATGATAATTTGGAGGCTTAAAATGTATGGTATCACATATATGGCAACATTAACACAAAGTGTGAAGGCAGGCGAATGGACTTCATGGTCTAAGGTTACATCCTCAGAGAACCAAAAATAAGTCAGGATTTGCACATGGCAGTAACAAGGTAAGGACGCACCATAGGTTTTCCAGGAAAGCCACAAAAAGAAGGGTCAAAGAGGTGTTTAACAAGGCAGTAAGGAGAACAAATAACTGTTTCCTTTCTGCCCATAAAGGTGCAAGGAAATGATTTAAATACCATTGTAACAACTTATTCAAGGCTTGATTTGTAAAATACTAGAGTTACCATGCCTCTTGGTATAACCAGATGCCCACTACCAAGCATTCTGATTCTTTTTTTTTTTTTTTTTTTTGTCATTTTTGCTTCCAGTCATGTTTATAAAAGAACAAATTCATAGACAAAAAGCAAACATTAATTTCAGTAAATATTTTATTTGAACATTTTAAAGTTTAAATGTGTAGCCAGAAGGTATAAGGGTGAAGGTTTCACTGTAATCAACAGAATCTTAACAAACTCACATTGAGGCCAATTTGTGGGTAGTAGGGTTGAAAGGAGAATGTCTGTGACATTAAAAATTTGGCAAATACATCACACATCTCATCATCACAGTATGTGCTTCCCAACGCACAGCTCCTCCCCAGACCTACTCTGCAATGCTGGGATCGCTCAGGGTTCCCATGTCCCTGAAACTACAACGGCAAGCTCAGGGGCATTTGGAGGAACTGCCTGGTTCCTATCCATCACCCTCCTGATGTCCCACAAGCGCTCCCACCCTGTCGCCCTACCCCATACCTTGGGAAGGCGGACGGTGGAAAGAGCTGCCCCTCTGTGAAATCCCACAGCCCAAGGAGGAGTTGGGCCAGACTACAGGAAAATAGGAGAAGTTGTGCCTTGCTTGGAGCCAGCAGAAAACAGCAAACAAAACAAGTCATCCGTCTGGATTATGAAAATCAAGGATATGCGTGAAGGAGAGGCCTGGGGGTGGGCCCTGGAAAGGGTCAGTGTTTGTTTGGCTTGAACTTCAAGGCCACGCTGTTGATACAAAATCTCTGACCGCTAGGCCCGGGTCCGTCGGGAAACACGTGGCCAAGATGAGCTTCACACTGCAGGAGAGAAGCCTCTGTCAGTCCCAGCGGAAAGAGACCGTTACACAAAGCCAGACAGACAAACCCTGCGTGGCCACCCCACTCCAGAGTTTAGCATCTGCGCCTGAAAAACAGTCTTTTGTACCAGAATTTCATTAAGAAACAGAAGAATGCAGAACACAGTAGTGACAAATAGCCCTCTTTTCCCAATGAAAAAATCAACAAAGCATTAAACTTTAGCCTTGACTTACTCCTCTCCAAAGTGGGGCAATACATACTAGAGCTGCTGCAATGGTTAACCGGCACAGTGCAAGTGAAACAACAATTCCTGAACAAGTACTAAATAATATTGTAGACTCTGTACTATTATCATTTGTTACTAAAGGCAAAACGATACTTCAGCTGCTTGCCTTTGCTGCTTGATGAAACTGCTGTATCAGAAAATGTGAGCACCCAAAGATATCAAAGTGAAATTGCTGTCAGGATTTAACCTGCTCCCCAATACCAGCCTCACAGAGGGAGCCGGGTGCTGCTGTTCCCCAAGTATCACCCTGCACAAGGGTGACACGGTACACAGTGGGGATGACAGGAGATGCAACTACACAGGGCCTTCCTGCTGCCTGTCCCTGCTCAAAAGGGTGTACAAGGGCAGCTCTTCCTCTCCTTCAGACCCTATCCCGTTCCATCTCTGGGGAAGGAGAGAGCCAGGAAAGCACTTCAGAAAGTGGCCCAGGCGCCTTTTACCTGCAGCACCCAGAATAATAGCAGAGAGTGATCACTACGGGCATGAGCAGAAGTCCAACGTACTTTGAGGACAAAGTGCCTTGTGGAGAAACAGCAGCCATGCCAAGGACAGGAGACCCCCCCACGGCACTTGGTGCAGCACCCGAGAAAACAAACCAAAGCAAAACACGCCACCTGCTTGCAGACAACCTCTGTTCGAGCTGACCCTAACGAGGTGTCCAGACGTCTCAGGATCCCTGCATGGCTTTCATCTGAGCCCGATGTACCATGAGCCTCAGAAAACGAAGGCCATCCAGTGCCAGAGCAGAACTTCTTCTCCGAGCTGTGGAAGACAGTCCCGACACCACGGCTGTTACCAATGCTGTTGCTGACATGTCAGGAGAGTTTAATGCCCTGCCTTCTTGCAGCTAGCAGGGCTGCTTCCTGCTGTTCCTCTGCCCCAAGTCCCAACTCTGCTACATGAATGACCAGTTCCACATAACTGTCCCACTGCACCTTCACTGTGAAGGACCCTGCCCAGCTGCGGTGAAAGGACACCTTGTTCCTTTGATGCTTCTGGCTTCTTTCTCCACGTCTGATCTAAAGGACCTAAAAACACTAGGAGCTTTGTGAACAGTGTCGCATACTGGGAACCGCAGATCAAACCCATGTGTTCCAAAATCAGAAAAGGGAAAATCAAAAAGAAGTTAACAGCGCTCAAGGGAGGTTCGCATCATCTTGGCACATTAGAGAAATGTCATGTCTGATACAACATTCCCTTTAGCAACAGAAATTTGAGATTATCTAAATGCAGGAGCCTGACTGCCTATGGGGATGCAAAGCTATGCCTGCCACTTCTTAGCAGTGTGAAATTAGGTAGCTCCTCGACCTCCTGAAGGCCTGGTTTTCTTGCCTGTAAAATGGGGACAATAATATCCACCCTACATAGATATCTGGAGGATCCTGGGTGTTTAGTGGAGTGTGGTGTACAACTGAGCACAGTAGTGGCACATGGTCAGTATTGAAGAACACCCCATGGTAAGTAAAGCTGGGTACCCTGCATCAATCACTACAGTCAAGCCAGGCCAGCCAGGGAAGTTTCTGAAGGCCCAGTGACTATTTGATCTGAAATGTCACCCACAAGCTCCCCAAGCCAGTAGCACCCAGAAGTGGGGCATCTGGGGGTGACTGGATCATGAGGGCTCTATCCTCATCGACAGGTTCATCCATCAATAAGTCCACAGCTCTATGGGCAGAGGAAGCAGTGGGCAGCAGGAGGTGGGACCCAGCTGGAGGAAGGGGGTCCCCGGAGTGTGTCCTTGAACTTTGTCCCCAAGCCCCATCCTCTCTCACTCTGCCTCTGAGCTGAGGAAGCGAGCAGCCCTACTCCACAATTCCCTGCCATGATTTTCTGCTGCTCAACACAGGCTTACAAGCCACAGAGCTATGTTCAAGATAAATCTTTCCTGCTTATAAGCTGTTTATCTCAGGTATTTCACCACAGCAATGGGAAGCCGATTAACACAGATGCTGAAGCCTGGAGCAGGGCACAGGAGCTGGCAAGAAGAGGAGGAGGTCAACAGGCAACCCTACTCACCAAAGACCCCATTCTAGGGCTGAGGATGCTCCAGTGCTGGAGCACTTGCCTGGTATGCAAAGGCCCTGGGTTCCACCCTCAGCACCACACACCCCAGAAAAATATTTAAACGAAGACCCTATTCTCTAAGAGATTGAACAGATAAGCTCTGTAAATGGCACTAGGGAAATAGATTTTAAAAAGTTTAAGATGGCAGAGAGATGGCTCTTTCTATCTAAGCAAGAAGTAATTGAAAGTTAAATCCTGCAGAAACTGAACAAACAAGAAAAGAGTGGTGAATAATTGAATCCCTAGATGCTGAACCTGGAAAGAAGCTCAAGTGGGAGCAAAAACTTCCCCAGGAAACGGACAGTGGGACCGCAATTTGGTCTCAGGACCCCTCCACACCTTAAAATTACTACAGGTTTCTGGGAGCTCCTGCTTACAGAAGCTGAATTTGTCAATACTTGGCAAATCAGAAATTATAACAGAACTTAAACTTGCAGTCATTAAAAATAACAAATGCATGACATGTTAACACTACACTTTTATGATAATAGTTTTTCCAAAATGAAACAGACACTGAGTGACAAGGGTTGTACTGATTTACAACCCTGCAAATCTTTTAATTGTCTGGTTTGAAAAGACAACTGAATCTTTATGTGCCTGAACAATCGCAGTTGCAGTGTTGCTATGATTAAATTTCAGGAAGAGGCTAGGGGTCAGCAGTAAAGCGCTTCCCTAGCATGCCCAAGGCCCTGGGTCCTATTCACAGCAACAAAAATAAAAAGATGTGACCTCATATGGATGGATATGCTCTGGGAAAAGAAGTATCTGGCAGATCCCCTAGAAAGGTCCCAAGAGTCCTCAGGGATCCTCTTTGATAACCACGAGTGTGTTCTTTAGGAGGGAGGGCTTGATTTCCAAAAGACTTGGGTGCAGATGCATGCTGTTACATCTGTATGTCCTTGGGAAGTTACTTAATCTGAAACCTCAGGGTTCAAGCAGCCACACTTTATTATCTCATACGGTTGCTGAGATTTTCTGCAATCTTTTCTTCCTACGGTGTGTTTAGAATAGTGTTTGATACATGGTATAGAAATAAACCCATAGCTGTTATTTGAATATGACTGTAATAATAGTAACAACAGATTTTCATGAAATTTGATCCTCCATGGGCCTGACTAGAAGAGTCTGTACATTTGGGTTGGGTTCTTTGCAACCATTTTTCAAGGGTTAAAAAATACTGACCTGAGGGTTGGGGTGTATCTCAATGGAAGACCAATCCCTTAATTCATATGAGGCACTGGGTTTGATGACCAGTACAGAATAGCAAAAAAACCAAACAAAGTATTCACTTGGCCACTGTGACCATGGAAAACCATCGTGAGCATCTTTTAACCGCATCCTCAACATTATAAAAATGACTATAAAAAGAATCCTGATAAAGAATTATGAATATAATGAAGTTTGTTAAATGAATGAATCTAAGACTAATAAAAAGTCATTAAAGCATTCATGGAAAACAATAAACCTTTACTAATATAATTAGCAGAATCTGGAGATTTTACCAAGTAAAACGAGAGTCCTGACATAGCACATTTAAGAATGAAAATCTAAATACTACGGCCAATTAGAGATTCCAATGTACTTATTTAAATAATTAGCAGATTGCAAGGCTCATCTTTGAAAGATTAAAACCACTGTGGAGCATATATTCTACGAGGTTTTTCTTTTGCTTAGTTTTCTGCTCATCTGACTTGCTGTTCCTCCTTTCTGGGTTTTCCACAGTCCCCAGAGCAACAGCAGAGGCATGTGGTGGTTGCTGACAATCCTAACTCTCACCAGTTAGAATTACCATTCATTTGAGAAGTTTTTAAACAGTATTACTCAGTTCCTTGGGACAGGTAGGACACCAGGATGGTATACAAAAAGTGCACCTGCATTGGGTTGTTTCCTCCCATGTTCAGATTTATGTTATGGTTAGATCTAAAATGTCCCCTGAAAGTCATGCGCTCAGAGGTGGGGCTTCTGGAAGGCAATAGGATCCTGAGGGCACCAAGCACATCAAACACATCAATGAGTTCATAAGTGCGCTCAAGAGCTGGGGCTCAGCTGGAGGAAGGAGGTCACCGAGGGCATGCCCTGGAAGGGTAGGTGATACAAGCCTGAGGGAGGGTGACACAGCACTGAGGGAGGGTGAGGCAGGGGGATTGCAAATTTGTGTCCTGACTGAGAAACTTAGTGAAACCCTTGTCACATGCTTACATACATATACACACATACCTACAGGTGGGGAGGTAGCTCAGTGATACACCGCTCCCGGGTTCCATCCCTAGTTACTGAAAACGAGGAGGAAGAGGAGGGTACAGTATATCCTGTCCCCAGACCCATCTCTCTCTGGCTCTTCCTTGCTCACTCTGCTTCTTGGCCACCATGAGGCCAAAGGCTCTCCTCTGCCAGGCTGTTTCACCATGCCATTTCTGCCTTGGGGCCAGACAGCCATGGGCTAAACGCTGAGCCAAAATAAACCTTTCTCCCTTAAGTTGTGGATATCAGGTACTTGGTCACAGTGACAAAAAGCTGTCTAATACAATGTAGGACCATGAAATATATGATTTCACAACACATTTTAATAAACCTTTCTAGAACCAGTTTGGTGGGGGGCAGGGAGATAGAGAAGGCTGGGGAGGAGGGCAAAGCCATCTAATTCTAAGGGTAGCAAGGTAGTCTGGAAGCCCTGGGGAATGTGCTGACATCCTGGAAAGTGCTCTTGACCCTAAAGTCCTTGCCTCAGAGGCTCTCACCAGGACAGGCAGCAAATGCCCAATGTACACTACAGCCAGGCAGGGTGGCATCCTGGAAAGCTCACATAGGAATCTTGCAAGTTTGAGTCCTGTCTGGGCAACTCAGTAAGACCCTGACTCAAAATAAAATTTAAAAGAGCTGGGGATACAGCTCAGTGCAAAGGCCCTAGGTTCAATCTCTACTCTACACACACACACACACACACACACACACACACAAAACATGCACCATATTCATGCCACTGACAATACAGTCATGGGGGACATGGTAAGTCTGACAGATGTGGCTGGGAATGAGGCTCTGGAAAGGGAGCCTGCCGGCCAGCCATGTCCCAGAGGCTGGGTCTGTCTTCCCTGGGACCTATGCCTGCAATCCAGAAAGCTGGCCCCGTTACAGGGCACTGCCAAAGTGACTTACAGAAATTTGGATCGTAGAGTGTGCACTTTGGAGACCCATAGCCTCGCATTTTGGCTGGCAGCTGCAGAACCGTGGACAAGTTATTTAATCTTCCCAAGAGTCAGTTTTCTCATGGGAAATGAGAATAACAGCACCACAGAGAGCTGCTGAGGGTCTGACGAAATGGCGTATGCGAACACAGTTCCTGGCTTATACCCAGAAGGTCTTTCACTGCTGGCGTGCTTCGCTCCCTGAGGAAGTGTACTGTACAGGCTCCTGCGGAACAGGAAGCCAGCACTGCCACTTACCAGATGAGACTGTGGTAGTATGAATATGGTGTTCCCCCTGAGGTGAGGTTTGAAGAGGTGAGGCTTTTAGGTCTCTAGGAGGGAATAAAGCAGTCCCCCCAGGACTGGATTAGTTACCACGAAAGCACGTTGCTATAGAACAAGGCTGCTGTTCACACTTTGTCTCTTGCACACACTCATCTGCCCTCACTAGAGGTCAAGCAGATACTGGCATCACGGCTTTGGACTCCCAGCCTCCTAAAGCATGAGCCCAAATCAACTTGTTCTTTCTAAATCACCTCCTACCTGGTATTCTGATAGAGCAACAGGAAACAGACTCAAGACAGTGACCTGGAACAAGTTACTTAGAAGACTGGAGGCACCAGCTTGCACATCTATTCAATGGACTGTAAGGACTATTTGCAAACTACTGAGCCCAGTGCTTACGATAAATGCTCAAGCACTTGTGGTGGCCTCTCTCGCATTTCTGCAGTGACTTCACAACAGTGTCATAACTGTGATGCTACAGCTGCGGAGCAGCAGCACAGACATTATTAATCCACCCGTCAGGAGGTCTGCGCCGAGCACCTCCATAGTAGTTTCCCAGGGTGGCTATGGCATTTTACCACAGGGTGGCTGGGAGGCTCTCATAGTTCTGGAGGCTTTTGTGGTCCAAGCTCAAGGCATCAGTGGGCCACACTTCCTCCTGCCGAGGACCTCTGCGAAACCCTGCAGGCCACCTCCCAGCTTCTGGATGCCGTCTAGTACTCGGCTTGTAGCCAACTCCAACCTTTGCTTCCATATTCATGTGGCCTCCTCTTTGTGTCTGTGACTCCTCTCCTCTCCCAACGACAATCACTTTATGGGTTGGATACTATTAGTATGTTCATTTCCCACGTGCAGAAATCTAGCCACATGGAGGTTAAGAAACTTTCTCAAGACCACACTGCAGTGGAGCTGGGGTGTCCACGTAGACAGCCTTCCCCCCTTTACCGTATGTGGATGCATCTTTAAGAAGAGTACATTCTTAGCTGGGAATGGTGGCACACGCCTGCCATCCCAATATTCTGGGAGGTTGAAGCAAGAGGATCACAAGTTCAAGCTCAGACTGGGTAACTTAAACCGTCACAGAAAAAAATATGTATTTAAAAGGGCTGGGGATAAAGCTCAGTGCAAAGGCTCTGGGCTTAATTCCTTGTACTGAAAAGAAGCATATTCTGGAAATCATGGCACAAATGATTCTCATGAACTGCTATGGTTTGGATCTTAAGTATCCCCTGGAGGCCGATGTATTAAAGGCGTGGCCCACAGCTTGGCACTATTGGGAGGTAGGAGAACCTTTAAAAGCGGGGCCTGGTTTGAGGGGTGTAGATCACTGGGCATGTGCCCTCCTGGCTGACAGGGAGATCTGCTCCACCACACACTTTGGCCATGATGTGCTATAGCAACAGAGGACCAACCAACCATGGGTCTGAGACTGTAAGCCCAAACTTCTTCTCTTTGTAAGTTGATTACACCAGGTAGTTGTTATAGTAATGGGAAACTGACCCCACATGAAGATATATTATTTCCCTCAGTTTTAGCTACAGCAGCAGCAGGAAAATGGAACACAAACTCAAAAATTTAAAAAACTGAAACTTTTCAACTAAAATTAAATGTTTAAAAAGAAACATGAATTGGTGATTCACTCAACTGGCCACATGGTAAACAGGCTTTTGAAGAATCAGCTAGTGTTCCTATTAGCTTGGGCTGTTTGTTACATCAGTGACCTGGAGTGCACCACTTAACTTTCTTAATTTGAACTAGCACTGGGCTAATACAGCAGCCACTGGCGGGGCCTCCTCTTTAAAGAACTGGAAACTGGACCCCAGTGAAGTGGAAGGACAAAGACTAACATTTGGAAGAGTGCTCTTATGAGAATGGCTTATCATCTTTTCCCATCACAGTCCAAAAATAGACACACAACATCTGTCTGACGACCAGGCGGTAACACTTCTGCAAAAAGGTCCTTCGGCTGAAAGCAAGTTGGCCAACTTACTGTCCTACTTCTCCCCTTTCACAGAAGGAAAGGTCAAGGAATACGTAATAGCAATATGAGCCTCGCATTTATTGCTGTGCTGTTGTTAAGTACACATTTGGTATTCCTCCCATTCCCTGGCATATACAACACCTAAAATCCTTGGAGTCTTCAGAAAGATGTGTCTTTTTATGCTAATGAGCTCACTGCTGGCTGGCGGCCCCTCCGTAGCTTCAGGGTGGGGACTGTCACCAGAAAAAAGCAAGGCACGTGTAGAAGGTTGGGACTTTCAGTCTCATTCTCAACCTCCCAGAAAGGAGAAGGGCTGGAAGTTAAACTGGTCACCAATCGCCAATGATTGATCAACCAGGACTATGGAACAATGCTTCCACAAAAACCCAAAAGGACAGGGCTGGAGAGCCTTGTATATATAACTGGAAGGTGTCCCCAGAGAGGACATAAAGTTCTGCATCCTTCTCTCTTACCTCATTGTATGCATTTTTTTTAATCTATAGCCTTTGTAATATCCTTTACAATAAACTAGTAACAAAAAGACACACACACAAATTTAAGAAGAGCTGGGCATGGTGGTGCATACCTGTAATCCCGGCACTCAGGAGACTGAGGTAGGTGGAATGTTGAGTTCAAGGCCAGCCTGGGCTACACAGTGAGTCCAAGGCCAGCCTGAACTACACAGGGAGAACCACAAGTAAATATATATAAAATTTAATTTAAACCAGTAAACCTAAGTTTCCCTGAGTCCCATGAGCTGTTCAAGCAAATTAATTGCACCCAAAGAGAAGAGTGTGTGAACCTCAGTTTACGGCCAGTGAGTGAGCAATACAAGTCTAAACCTGGGGTTTGCGATGGACATCTGGTTTATGTATGGGTGGCAGGGTGATGCGTGGGGACTGAGCCCTCAGCCTACAGGACCTGATGCTATCTCCAGGTAGACAGTGTCCAAATGGAACTGGATTAGGACACCCAGCAGGTGCCCACTGCAGAAGTGACTGCTTGCTTGCTGCAGGGAGGGATCCCCGCATCTTCTGAAGTCACAGAAGTCTCTTTGTTGACAGCTGTGGTGTGAGATCAGGGGGAAAACGGTCTGTTTTTCTAACATCACTGTAAAAATCAACTTCCTTTTAGTTTTCCACATGCCATCCCAGGCTGGCCGCCCTCCCCGACACCACCTCACCAGAGCCCAACAGTGTGCAGGCGTCTGGGCCTAGGCCTGCCCTTCCGTGAGCACAAAGGAAAATCAATCCTAATCGCTGCTCGGCCTTGCAGGTGGGGTCTGGCTTCCCTAATGCAGTACCCATTAGCAGCCGGCTGGCCAGGAAAGCCAGTGTGCTCAAAGCCCAAAGGACAGAAGAAACCACTGCCTAATGGAGGATTCACAGAGCTAGCTTGATTTATATTTTATTCTAAACCAATTTAGGGTTGATGCAAAAGAAAGGAAAACATCTTTGAAGTTCTGAAAAACAGGACTTCAAAGATGTTTCTTTTCTTCTTCACTGAATCCACTTTTTTAAAAAAGATTGTTTCCTGCATATCTAAACAAAAAAGGCTTTGTTGAGAGATTTTAGATCCTGATTGACTTAAAAGAGGCTTTGAAATCAAGGGACAATTAAATTTACTTTTAGCTACATGGAAGAGGGCATGGTATTCACTACTGTCAAACGCTGTGTGGAATCTATCCTCATAAAATTCTACATTTCCTAAATTAAATTATAAATCCATTTTCCCTGAGAGAGGTATAGTTTTAATCACATGGTCAAGCAAATCCTATTAGGGTTCAGATTTCTTTAAATATTTTCCCTCTAAAAAAATTCGAATAGCTTTATTGAAGATCTCTCTACCAAGGTTTTATTTGTTTGCTATTTCTCAGGGAGACATAAAGGAAGAATAGAAGAAGTCATGCTTCCTGCTCCAAATGCTAAGACAAAATCAAGACAGACAGGCTTCGGAACAGCTCTTCCAGCTGCAGCAATGCCAAATGAGAAAGGCAATTCAAGACCAAGCAGGGACTGGGGGTGCAGCTCAGGGGGTGCATACTTGAGGTCTTGTGTGCAGTTCTCAGCACCAAAAAAATGTATTTGTTTATTCAAGACTTCAGATGAGACAGAACTGTATGAATGTGGAGCGTTCTCTCCTCCTAGAGCTGGACTCATCTTACCTGAAGAGGGGGCTGTCACAACACACACAGTGATACATTCCGGGCTCCTTGTTGTTCAGGTAGATCCCACTGAAAGGCTGAAAATGAGTGAGATACATCATGTGCCGGTTTCCCATATCACGAGCAGGAGATGGTACAGCAGATTAAAACCTGAGATAAGGGCTCCTTGGTGCTTTCCTAGCATGTGCTGGGCCTGGGTTCCATCCCCACCATGGCAAAAAAACAAAAACAAACAAAACAACCATGGTAAGTCTTCAAATTAAGGAATTTTTGTACTAGTTTGACAAAGCATAATATCACCAGACAGAAAAATTACAGTCACCCAATGAAGCAGACTGCAAATTTATTTACAGCCTGGCCTTTACTATGTCAAACATTCAAGTTGTGACAATAATAATGCTTTGTATTTCTATACTACCTTTCATCCATGAACATCAAAGTCCATGAAAAAGCAAGAGAGCTGTGTCTCATCCTCTGTGATTGAATAAGATTTCACTCTCCCATTTCAAAAGAGTTAAAACAACAAAAACCTACATACTTGTCTAAAATACTCTGAAATCTCCAATTAAATATGGAACATAAAGGGGTTGGGCTGTAGCTTAGGGCGAGAGTGCTTGCCTAGCATGCCTGAGGCCCTGGGTTCCGTTCCCACAGAGGGCAACGAACAGAAATGCATAAAAAGCACAGTTTAGTGAGGCCAGGGCCAGTGCCTTTGCCATCTTTCACACAGTGCTGAGGTCACTGCACATCTAACAAACGTTAAATGATGAGCTAGCTGCCCCCAATGCCTAGGTTACAAGTTACTTAAAATGACTACGCTCTTGGTGTCTTCAAGAGTTTTCAGATTTTCAAAGGTATTCTGAGAAGGCCACAAGGCAACAAGCAAGCCAAGTCAGTAATTCTTAAACATTACTCGGCAAACTGGATCACACTGGCTTTTGTCTTTTACAAAGGTCATTTCTGCCTAATTCCTTTTATCATTTTTCTCTGTCAGAGAAAATTCTGAAAAATGAAAGCCAGACACATGCTGTGAAGGTCTGCATCCTGGTGCCCAGTGGCAAAGGTTACCCAATTTCATGGGAAGGGGGAGAAGGCAAAGCACCCACCAGCTCACCAGGTGATGGCCCACTCAGCAAACCAGCGGGACCTTTCTGCCCTCTCCACATTTCCCAACTCAAAAACCTCTCAGGTCTAACCTTCAAATTCCCCGCAGTGGCACTAGCAGCACCACTTCTGCAAGCTGCATAATGGACACTTTCAAATTAACCTACTGAGCCCACGACACAGGACCACTTGGATATTTTTCCTCTTCCAAAACCCTACACTTAGCTGCAGAAATCCTCAGGTAGTGAGCTGGTCTTTCCTGGCCCAGCCCTTGAATGCCTCTTCCCAACAGTGGCCCTGGATGGCATCTGTGACCAAAAGGAAGTTTTACGTTCTTCACCTTGGGCAATGGGACCTACTTGCCGAAGGACCTCCTGTCCTAAGGCTGGTCTAGAAAAGTCTACTGATAGGCATCAGGCACCGTAGTAAGATTCAAACTCTAATTTCATCACTGCAGGGGATAGATGGTCCCAAGTGACAGGGAACTACAAGGCATAGTAAGTAAAATAAATATTAAAATAAAAAGAAATTCTTAGCCAATATTTTATGAATGACATCTACCCACTGCTTCCTGATATCCTCTTTCCTGTTCCTTAACTTCATCCAAGTCTTATCACTTACTTAGGACCAAATTCAACTCCTATCACACTTGTTCACTCTAGTAGCTATTTATCTGCAGCATTGAAGATCAAAGCCAGGAACTCAAGTAAGTACACAAGCTCTCTGCAACTGAGCTACAGCCACAGCCCTCATTCTAGCATTTACAGACAATCTAGTATAGACTCAGTGCTGGGCTAGGTGCTAAGATTGCAGATGGGGGAGAAAGTTTAAACGCACAATTCCTGTACTCACAGACTCTGCTAGGTTGGAAGAGGTAAGTGAGCTGGCACTTACCGGGCATGACGGTAACCACAAGGAGCATGGCAGCTCAGGACATTTCCCCATGCGGAAAGTTTCCATAAAGGTTTGCGCCAATAGACACTATCTGAATTGAGTGGATTTTTTTTTTTTTAATCTTTACTACTTACACAGCTGATTGGTGTTTTTTTATAGAAAAATGCCAAAACACTAAGCTGAATTTTGAAGGACTGGTAAGAGTTATCAAATGAAAAGACATAAGAATGTTTCAGAGCAGTGGGCAGAGCAGCCCAGGTGAGAGAGAGGAGGAAGACAATGCTGGGCAGGCAAGAGAGGCCAGACCAGGCTGAGCTACGAGCGGACCACACTGAAGCATGTCCTGGTGGACACAAGCACCGTGTGCGCACATGGTCAGAGCTGGCTTTTAGAAAGGTCACTTGACATCAAGCCAAGAATGGAATGGAACAAGGGTAAAAGGCACTGGAGGTAAAGAACCATCAGGGGGTTGGTCACTCAGGCAGGCCTGGACGGTGACCCTGCTCTGGCTGGAAATCGGAAGGAGAGAAAGGACTCAAGAATGATTTACATGAGAGGACTGAAATAACTGGCTATCCAGGCTCAGGGACAAAATGAAGTCCAAGACGGTCCCTGGGATTCCAAGATCTGTCTGGACCAGCGGCAGCTCCTTCTCTGACCCTGTCAACACAACATACGGGCTGGAAGCAGAGAACACCCTCAGAAAGAGACGACTGCAGATAACTTCCTATGCGACTATCCACAAAGGTGGGGACAGGGCCAATGGACACCAGCAAAGGAGAAACGCTACATCCCCTGCACTAGGGGCTGCAAGAATACCCCACTAGGCCTGTGGGACCAAGGAAGGGCGGCTGCCACAACCTGGGGAGGCTGTGGCTGTGGGGACCCTGCAGGAGCTGCCACTTGCAGCAGAAGAACACAGCCACTGCCAACGGCTTCCCTCAGAGGGGGGGCCCTGGGCCCCAACTGATATCTCTGTTCTGCCCTCTTACCTCAGTGGTCTTTCTTGCTGCCTAAAGCAGTAACCAAAAGACCAAAAAGTGAGTCCTCTTCCCAGAGGTACAAGCAGGGACACACTATGGAGACTGGGTCGGGAGAAGGATCGATAGGATCCGCACAAAACCTCCCTGCTGTTGGTGCTCGCCTTTTAGCTACTGCTCAACCAGGCCGTGGACTCTTTCACTGGTTGCTAGCATATTATAACAGTCCAATTGAAAGAACATAAGTGATCTGGAGTCACCCACTAGAAAGCTTTGATGTCTTATTTCTCTTCTCTTGGCCTAAAGAAGCTAAGGCTTTCAGTTCTGCAGTATTTGAAAAAGTTAAATGTGGAAATGGAGTGACTGAAAGGGATTTATAACATTAGTTAAAATAATGGGTGAGACTCATTTTGTAAAATAGTCAAATGCACTGAGTCTATGGAACCATCTGTTTCACAAGACCACAGATTTTATTCTCCTAAACATCTGGGGGTGCATTTCCAGGCTCTGTGTATACACCAAATCCTACCTGGCCCTGCACCTGAGAATTAGAGACGGCTGAGGACATCCCACACAGACACACAACTGCTCACAGAGTATCGTGTGTGGCTCCTTTGTGCCCTCTACAGCAATGGCAAGTGTGGTCTCAATGAAAATTTCATTAAAACAAATCCCAGTCACAGGAAGTTGGAAAAAAAAGACTAGCATTTCATAAGAATCCGCTGAGCTCTGCCGGTCTGTCTGCTGACTCCGGTACCGGAGACTACAGATGTGACCATCATTATAAGGCTATGTGCACATGGACTCCTCCCTGGATTTTGCAGGTAGAAACAGAAATATTCTACAACTGAAACCACTGTTCTGTGGTCTGCAGGGCTGCTTCACAAATGAAAATAGCATACTTTGGTTTCTCTTCAGATCGTATCAACCTTTCGCCTTTTACAAATGATAATATCTAGTAACAGAGTTCAATAGCTAAATTGTAGCAGCTATACTTGGGTTGAGGAGTGAACACTTGATAAAAACAGAAGTAGTATAAAAAATGGTGTCATAATGCAGACCCACTGAGGGTTTTCTCTCAGGAAAGGGATGGTAAGATTGGTGAATACAGTTTAAGTAACTGTTTCTGCATCTTAATAGAGTCATTCAATATTCACAAAAATTTCCTTTTTGAGTGCCTGGTACAGCCAGGCCTCACAGACAATGGCAAGTGCTTGATGGAAACGTACCGGGAAAAGTGAACCTCACTTGGGACTACGAGAAAGGTTCCCGAAGAAAGTGAGTTAAATGTAGGCTTAAGTTAATTAGGAGGAGGAGCCAGAGGAAGAAACTGGGGTGTGAGGGGCTTACATGGAAAGGGAGCCTTACAGTGCAGAGACCCGGAAGAAAACTGGTGGATCTGAGGACGTGGTGAGAGATCCAGGGCAAAGCCATTAGGAACTGATTAGCCATTTAATATTTTTTTTTTCCTGAAAGCAGGGGGAAAGCACTGGGGGATTCTGAGCTGGGAAGTGGTGTGGTCAGCTTTGTGTTAGAAGACTTTGGCAGCAGTACAGGGACAGCCGATGTCTTAGTTACTTCCTCTTCGTGGAGACACAATACTGCACATCCACATGTTAAATGAGGGAAGGTTTATTTCAGCTCACAGTCTGTAAAGATTTCAGTCCATAGTGGGCTGGCTCCAAGGCAGAATGGCATGGTGGAGGGGCCTGGGTGCAGCAGAGCTGCGTACGGCAGGGAGACAACGGAAAGGGAGGAGCAGGGCAGAGATAAACCTTTCCAAGTCACACCCGCAGTGACCCACCTCTTCCGACCATCCCGCCTCCCCACAGCAAGTCAGCTATACACTCATCCTGGACCAAGCCACTGATGATTGAACTGCTCCCTCGAACCAATCACCTCCCCAGTGCTCCACCCAAGGGCACATGGGAGGCTTTGGGACATCTGGATATCAACCACTGCACCAGGCAAGGAATAAGCAGTGCTGTGGTAGAAAGGCTGGAGGCTGCACGGTCAGAGACTAAGAGATGAGCAGAGCGGGTTCAGCAGTGACATGACTGGAAGTTTACTTGGGACACAGAATAGACAACGGAGGCAAAAGAGGATGGAAGGTGATAGGACGAGGGAAGGCTCTGGGTTTGCACAACTGAATGGAGGAGGACCAGCTCCGTGGAATGGATGGTGATCTATGATCTATTCCAATCCTCACCCCCAGCCACTGGCTCAGCTCACCGGTTCAGTTCCTTTTTCTCTTGTGACATAGAACTGCTCTGGTGTCAGTTTCTTCTGCCATTCAGCCTTAGTGAGAGTCGGTTCATGCTGCGTAAGAGACCCTGTATTATTAAATAGGAAGTTTGTGTTATTAAAAACAAAAGGCACAGTGAACTTTTTCTCTGGTCTTTCTCCCAAGTGCACCATCTCCCAGCAGAGTAACCCCATGCCTTCCTCTCTGCCACACTTCATTCATTGCAGGAACCGGAAGGCTCAGGTACAAAATGCTTTGACTATTTAATTTAATAAGAAATCAGTAATAAGTAGAGAGCCAGCTTTCTAGTCATCTAGGGGCACAGAAGCTGAAGAAGCAGCTGAAATGTGTAATAATGCAGAATATATCCTCATATACCTGAGGGGGAAATTGATCCTCTCCTCCACCCCCACTTTTGGAGAAACGTTCCTGTCATGACACAGCTGGGAGCCGTGGAGGGACTGGATAGAAAAGAACCCCGAGCTAGTGAGTTATTAAACTCCTCTCGCTTACTGGTTTATAAAGATATCTCTCATTCTGTTTGTCATGGGAGATCTTTATTAAAAAATCTTCTGGTAAAGACTCCTATCCTACCTACCTTTGAAAGGGAAACTGAGACCTGTATCATCTATTATGCTTTGTGGATGTTGTCCATATTGTGTTTTCCTTTCTCCTACTTCCTTTAACTTCTGTCTTACTTTTATGCGGGTGAGTGTAAACAAAATAATGACGACAATACTCTCTTTTGCTAAAGCAGGTTGAAAGCACAATTCTCTTACTAAATGTTTTAATCATCCAATATTAAGATTATGAAAGGATTTTATAATCTCTCAGACTCTTCAATTTACAAATAAGAATAGAGAGGTGAGACAGGTTAGGGACCTGGCCATACTGTTGAAGATAAAATGTTAAACAACTGTGATACTGGCCAGGGCTACAGCTCAGTAGTAGAGCATGTGCTTAGCATGCCTGAGGTCCTATGTTCACCGCCAGTATCCAAACAAAAAACATTTGTTGTGTGGGGTCCCATATATCAAATATGTCGTAAATTTATTTTTAAAATTCATTTTTGGTCTCAAAAATAGTCCTAAATAACCTGTTAGCAAGAAAAGACTTGTCTTCATCACCAATTTATAACACTGCACAATAATGTATTTTCAGGATTGTAGTGTTAATTGCTTATGCTTATTTATATTTTAAAAAGATTTTTAAAAAACATATATATTACAAGTTTTTTTAAAAATATTTGTTTTATAAGCTACAGGCGTTTTTTTCTTATTATAGGAACATACTTCTGAGATTTTCCTATGTATATATACCTCAGGTGACGCACTTTTTTTTTCCCAGTAACTCACCCCTTGGGAGCAAAGCAAAACATCTGTGCGACAATTACAATTTCCCAGTGATTTTCATTTATCATATAGGCAGCCAAATAATAAATGCAGAAAGAATGATAGAATTTTTAAAATTGCTACATTTGCAACCATCAAAATAATAACCAATTCAAGCAAGAATCATCAGGGGACCCTAAAACCCTTGGGTGCAAGAAAGTTATAAATTCAGTTACTAGGCTCACTGGTGTCTCAACGAACAATGGCGTTTCTTTTTTGTCATTATCTAGCTCTTGTTTTCCTCCACAAATGGCAAGCTCTTCTCTCCTCTCCTTAAACTACAGTTTCCACCACCTCTCACGTTACTATTACCAGATGATTCCACTTGGGAGGAATCAAAACCCATCAACCAGAAAATCTCTGTTTCTTGCTACCCAACCACCAGCTATACCCATCCTTCCTTCAATCTCGTTGCTATGAAGTGAGTGACCACCGCTTCTGTTCACGAGCTGTTGTTTTCCTGGGTTGTATCCCCTTTTGCCTCTCTAAGGACCAGGATCCAGTGATTGTTCCTCCCTGCTGTCTGCATCTAGACATGCTGAGTATCTCAGAGGGAGAAGATTACCCACTTAGTCTTAAGTTATACACTGAAGCTACTCTCTACTTAGTAGCTTAAACTTCCACCACAGGATGAGAACTCCCAAATCTATTTTTCCTTCTGTCCTAGATTTCTCTGCTACTCCAGACCCATATAGAATCACCACCTGGATATTTCCACTTGAATGTCCCACCCCAAATAGGCACAGAACTTCATAATCTTTCCTTCCCAACCTACCAACCTTTTTGGGGAGTGCAGGAGGACTGCCTAGGGCCAAACCCAGGACCTCATGCACCCTAGATAAACATACTACTATTGAGCTGGACCCCACAACCCTGTTCTTCTATGTGCTCTAGCTCATGATGTTTCAAGCCAGATACTCAAACCATCAGCCACAGGACACTTTTCTCTGCACGAAGTCCTGTTGGTTCAACTTTCTAAATAACTTCGGAACCCGTTCATTCTCATTCTCTCAGCCACTGTCTTGACTAGACCACGTTTACTGCCAGCACAGATTGTTACAAGTTTCCTGATGTATATGCCTTCCTCCTGCCCATATCGTGTTTTGTTTTTTTTTTTTTCCTCGTGGCCCAATACTGTTCAGTTAAACCTAATACCCTCAAAGTCAATGCCAAACTTCTTAATGTGATTTCCAGTGTCCTTTGTGCCTTAGTCATGGTTGCCAATTTCAATTCCTCTCTTCTGGGCATCCTAGTCATTCTGAACCAGTCTTCAGAGTCCTGGCATGGAAAGTCCTTCACTTTTCTTGGCCATGCTCCATCCCTTACTTTAACACTGCTTTCTTTTTTCTTTTCTAACTCCTACATGTCCTCAGGTCCTTCTGTGTGATGTACTCTATACAGGTCGGTTATACCCAGGTGGTGGATGGAGACGGAGTTAAACTACACTATTACTAATTTTTTGACTGCTGGATCTGTCCATTTCTGACAAGACGGCACCAAAGTCTCCGACTATGACAGTGGATTCCTCTTTTTGTCTTTGCAGGTTTATCAGTTTTTGCTTCCTACAGTTTGATGCTGTCACTACGTGCATACACTAGGTTACATGAACTACGAGAAGGGACCCGTATCAGGAACCCAATATGTCGCCAACTTGATCTTGGACGTCTCAGCTTCCAGGACTGTGATAAATAAATGTCTGTTGTTTAAACCACTTAAGTCCATGGTATTTTATTTTGGCAACCCAAGCTCAGACACAGAGCCAGTGACAAGAAGCCAAGAATCGAATTTGGGTACACTGACAACCAAGCCATTAACAAGTTAGTACTATCTGCTTATCATTTTTAATGGGTTTCTAAGAGTTTGCTGAATCGAACTTCCATGATTTACTTAAGTCTTTCTTAACTGATCTGGGTTGAAGCCAGTTTCCGACTCCTAAGAGTAACGCTGTTAAAAATGTCTTAGCACGTACAGCTTCGTTCTTCCTTTGAATTATTTCCTTAGAATAAATTCCCAAGAGTTTATTCTGATAAGTTACACAGCTCTTGGTATGTATCAGTGTCTGGTCAAATTTTAATGTGGCTGAAGAACTTCAGCTCCTAGGGCAATTTACTAGGCTGCTTCTGACAGCGCCAAGTACAAGAGTGAAGAAGTTTCCGCTACCACCATAACCTACCAAGGGGGATGAGGAGAGTGAAGTGTGCTGTTTCTCTCACCTTCAAATTACTGCCTGGCACACAGCAGGCCTGCAACAAACGTCAGACTGGCAGCCTCGGGAAGGCCACAAATGGAAGGCCTGTTGTACTTACACTACATTTTGAAAACGTCAAGGGATGAAAAGCGTTCCCAACTGAACTGTAGGCCTCCGGGAAAGTCGTCTGTGAATGTCAACGGACACGGACGCAACTGGAGTCAGAGGCAGGCCCCTAGGCACCTTCCCAGAACGCCAATGTACAGGGGCACTAAATTACCCTGAAATACAACGCTAGTGAGGTAGGCGTCCCCTTCCCAATTGGTGCTGTGTAAATGTGCCCAATCCGGAAAAGAAGGGGCAAAGGGCACCTGGCAACACACGCACACACACACGCACACGCACTTTCCCTAGTCTGTCTCACTGCCACGAACAGTGACTGTCAGTCTCAAGCGTCAACAAACGAGGTGCCGCACGCGCAGGTCCGCCAGATTCTGCTCGGAGCCTCGAGGCAAGAGCCGCGCCGGGGACCCCGCGTCAGCCCCGCCCGCTCCTCACCCGCGCACAGGGGGAAGCGAGGCCGCCGCGGATCTGGAGACTCACGTTGACCCAAAAAGCAAAACGCTGAAAAAGGTCGTGCGCACGTCGGGGCGAGCGCCTCCCCGGGATTCTCAGTGTCCCCGCCCCCGCCAGGCCACGGGGGCGCAGGCAGATGGGAGCGAAACTTGGGCGGCCGCGGGAGCAAAACCGAAACCTGCGCGGCCGCAGCCGAGCCCGCGAGGCCGGGTCCTACCTGTGTCCCTGCATTCCGACCCAGCGCAGCCCCGCACAACGCGCCCAGGAGACTCCCGGAAGGGCCAGAGCGGGAGCGCACGCAGCAAGCGCGCCATCACGCAGAGTCCGCACCCCCGCGCGCAGGCCACGCCCCGCCGCGCAGGCCACGCCCCGCCGCGCAGGCCACGCCCCGCCCCACCCCTCCTCTGACCCTCTCTCCTGTCCCTACCTCTCCCCCTCTGGGCCCCGCCCTCACTCCCCGCCTTCCTGCCCCCACCACCCTCCCCTGTTTCGTGCTCTCCCTGACCTGTCCTCTGGCTCTTGACCTTCCCTCCCCCTTTCCCCGCAAATGTGCCCCACACACACACACTGAGGCTGGACCCCACAGGGCACCAAGCTGATGCTTGGCCTGAGTCCAAATGCTCGTCTGTTTCAGTTTGTTTGCGTTTTTCAGAGTTGTATATGAATGGGCTCATACAATTTGTACTTATTTTATCTGGCTTCTTTCACTCGGCATAATTATTTTGACATGCATGCGTGATTTTTTTTTCCATGTAGCCATTGTTCATCCCTCGGTGCTGAGTAGTATTCCATTTATGGACGTACCAAGCTCTTGTTTCTCTACTCATCAAATGCTTCCAATTTTTCTTTATAAAACTAAAGCTGCCCGGAACATTTCTGTACAAATCTTTGTGTGAATAGACACAGTCTTTTCTCTTGGGTATACCTGGAAGTGGCTATCTCAGTTGCAGTTCTTCCAGCAGCACTTCAGAGGTGCATTTCCTCTCCATCCTTGTCAAGGCTTGAATGTCCAGACTTTTTGGTATCTCGTTGTGGTTTTATTTTACAGTCTCCAATGGCCAACAGTTATGAGCGTTTCCATGTGCTTATCTGCAGCAAACATATTTTCTTTGGTGAAGTGTCTGTTTAACTTTATTGCCTATTTATTATTAGGTGATTATTACTGAGTTTTGAATGTTCTTATATATTCGGGATACAAATCTCTAGCAAATATTTGCTTCACAAAGCGCCTCTGCTACCGTTATGCGGCTTGTCTTTTCTATCTCCTAATGGCATTTTAGGAAGAGTAGAAGTTTTTAATTTTGATGAAATCCAATTTATCAAATTTTCATGGGTTATACTTCATGGTAGCCCATTTCTTTCCCTAATCTAAAAATCACAAAGATTTTCTGTGTTTTATTCTGAAAGTTTTATAATTGTAGATTTTGTATATAAGTCTACTACTCATTTTGACTTAACTTTTGTATATGATATCTTTTTGTTTGAACTGCTGTTGATTTTTTGTTGAAAATCATTTTGTCAGTGTGAGAATCTACTTCTGGACTTTCTATTCTGTCCCATTAATCAATTTGTCTATTATTTACATTATCACTACAATGCCCTGATGATCAGACTTGAAATCAGGTGGTATGAATTCTGTAATTCTGTTCTTTATCAAAACTGTTTTGGCTACTTTAGTTTTTTATATTTCAACATATACTTTAGATTTAGTGTCTCCATTACTACAAACTGGCTTGAACTTTGATAGGGATTTCATGGCACTATCCATAAATTTGGGGAGAACTGATATCATAGCCATCTTGAATCCAGATCCCTGAGTAAGATACATCTCTCAACTTCCATAGGTCTTCTTTACCTTCCATCAGCAGTATTTTGGAGTTTTCAGTGTACACATCTTGCACATCTCTTGTCAGAATTATCCTGGAGCATATTTTTTGATGCCATAACATTGTTTTATTGTTGTTGTGTTGTTTTGTTTGGTTTGGTTGCTAGGATTTAACCCAGGGCCTCACACGAGGCTAATATTCTACCACCAAGCAGCAGCCCTAGCCCTTTCACATTGTTTGATTAATTTAATTTCTGATTTCTTGTTGTGAGTCTGCACATTTTGTGTATTTATCTTGTATTCCATAATCTTGCCAAGCTCATTCTTGTAACATCGTAATGGATTTTCTATAGAGACAATCATGGCCATTTGTAAAGAGTTTTAGTTGTTCATTTTCAATGCAAATATCTTTCATCCCTTCTTGATTTATTTCACCTGGTCTGAGTGAACATCCACGTGTTGTATTTGATCTTAGAGGAAAATGATGCAATTTTCACAATTAAGTTTCAAAGTAGCTATAAGTTTTTCAAGGATACCCTATCAGTTTGAGGAAATTCTCTTTTTTGTTTTTTTGGCACTGGGAATCAACCTCAGGCCTTTGTGCTTGTCAGGTAGATACTGTGCTGCTGAGCTAAATCCCCAGCAATTACGGAGAGGTTTTATTAGGAAGTGATGTTAAATTTTTGTCAAATACTTTTCTGCACCTATTGTAGAATCATATTTTTCTTTTTCTTTTTAGTTTGATTGAATTTTAAATGTTAAACCAATTTAGTATTCCTACAACAAAGCCCACTTTATCTTTTTTATACATTGTTGGATTTCATAAGTTTAAATTTTTAGAATTTTGAATCCTTGCTCCCAAGGCGTATTGGTCTCTAGTGTTCTTCTCTTACAGTGTCTGTTTTTGTATCTCAATAATACATGAACACTTCAAATCCAGGGAGGTTAATATATTGTCTAGGATTATACTGCTAGTTAGTTGAAGACTTTATAACCCCTCTAAAATTTAGAATTAATAAAATATTAAGGAATTGGAGACATTTAACTCACCCATTTTAATTCCTAATCCCAGCAATTTAAGAAATGCAAAAATAAGTTTAACATTATAACATTATGGGGAAAATATGCAATCTGCATATGTACAGCATAAGTTTAAAAGACCCATGGCCTTGGGCAAATATCCAAACCATTTCAGCTGTAGCGTCTTTATCTCGCCTAAGGGGTCATTGCAAAGATTATAGATGGTCTATATCAGAACACCTAGGAAATCCTCACACATAGTTAATAAATGTTAGTCATTGTTATGAAGATAATGAGAAACACTAGGATTTGTAAACAGTTAATGACCAATGCATCCCTGAATTTCTGCCTATTCCCACACTCCCAGGAATTATTCCAAACACAAATGAAGTCCCTTTCCCCACCACAACCACCTCACTTAAATCTGCGAGGAAGACTCTTGCCCCATCTTTGCTCAGCTCCTTCCAGGTCTTGAAATGCTTCTCTGCTCACCACCATTATTCTAAATCTAATTTATCTGTCAAGAAGGAGTATGTGCTAATCTCACATTCTTGGCCTTATAATCTTTACCCGAACACAACACTACCTGTTACTTCATACTGTTGGTGGTACAAACTTGTACTTGCCTGGCAATAGCTACTCTTCTCTCCTTAGTCACAAACATGTCTTTGGTTTTATTGAGTGTAACAATGTTCCTAGCTAATATGTCCTACCCACCAGCTCCTTTAGTGGGTATATGACACAATTCTGAGAAATAATAGAAGCAGAAGTCACAGGAAGGCTGCCAGTTAAAGTGGAGCTGACTCGAGCACCAGGTTTTGCTCTTCCCTTCCCTCCTGTCTGCAAATTGGTCATGATGACTAGAGCACTACGAATCTTCTGGCATACAGGAAGAGGAGATTCACACATTGATGTTAGTAGAGGACATGACAGGGCCTGGGACTGCGATGATATTGATGAGCCAATACACTGCACTTGGATAGCCTACCTCCGGGGGACAGGCAAATCCATCATTTGTTTACAGTGCTGTGATTTAGATTTTCTGTTTCATAAAACTCATACAGTGTGTACGTGATATCCTGAGTTTAATTGAAAATCTTCCAGAAAGGCAAAGTTCCGTAACCTTGATTCTTAGTATATCAAACATATACAAATGATAAGCACAATAAAACATTGATAATAAAATCCATGAAAATATAAAATGGAGTGGCCCCCAAAATGGGAGATCAGTTGAAAAGCCAATTGGCATTTCTACACTTAAAACCATTGAGAAAAAAATGGTGTAGCAGCTGAGCTGAGTGTAATACATATCTCCTTTCCAAAGGAGCTTAGTCTACTTGCATCTGCCCCAGGGCCAGCATGGCTGTTCATTGGATTCTTCCACAGGCCTGAAAATTCTTAGAAATTAACCAACTAGGACATATCAAATAAATACCTGTAAGAGATAATTTTGAAGCTTCAAAGGCAGTAAATGAAGACTCAAATAGATGGTTTAATAGAAAAACTATAGCATGATATGGATTGTATTTTCAATTATCCCCCCCAATTGTACATAGATTTTTAGATCAAGTTTTGGGCCTTGGTTTAAGGATTAGAAACTGGTACATATGCTGGAAAGGTTAGCCTAAATCTATAATTCAAATAAGGTCTAAACTCTGTTATATAAGATCTGTTATTATCCAACTTTTGGTGGAAAATGGAAAGATATATTTTCCTGATGAGCAGAGAGCTGAAATGGTAGATTTAAATAATGTGCAAGTTAACTTATAGATTTAAGCGATACTATTTACAAACACATGGATTACTTTATAGAAACTGATAAAATAACAACTGAAATAAAAGTAAATAAAGTAGCTTTTTGTAATTAAAGCAATACTGGAGAAGTAGCCTCACCAGATATTAAAGTGCCTTGTCAAAGAACAGTTATCAAAATGATCTTCTGACTGGAATGACAATAGAAAAATAAGCCTAACAGATAAAATAGAACATCCCTAAATTAATACACATTCAACTTATTATAAACAAAGCAATATACAATTATTCAATATATATTTGTGGAAAAGTTACTGTCAAGATAGCCAAACTAACCTTAGTGTCTAAGACTTAGACTGATAACTCACTTTGACCAAAAGAATTAATTTCTGAGTTAAATATGATGTGCATATATGTATAGACACATATATACATATGAAATGAAACAATCACAAATATTCATTCTGGAATAAAAAGGACTTCCTGGGAATGTAACTAACAAAAGGGGTTGCTAACAAAACAAATGATAAGGTCGGCAAGTTCAGGCGGCATGAAAAATTGCAATGCAAGCATACATACATACCACAAGATAGGGAACAAAAAACAATCCCAAATTGGAAAAATCAAAAGTATAACAGTAGGTGACAATTGTAACAAATGCAACAGATAAGCATATAATATTATGTATGTAAGGGAAATTAATATTACAGATATGGCCAATAGTCAGGTCTGTCTGGA